ATTTATTTCAGTAATTCAACTCAAATTGTGAAACTCGTGTATTAAATAAATTCAATGCACACAGACTGAAGTAGTTTAAGTCTTTGGTTCTTTTAATTGTGATGATTTTGGCTCACATTTAACAAAAACCCACCAATTCACTATCTCAACAAATTATAATACTTCATAAGACCAATAAAAAAAACATTTTTAGTGAATTGTTGGCTGATGAATGAGTCTATATCCAGCATGACAAGATCTGCTGCTCGAATCCTTTCATCCTTTCAGCTCTTAGTAGCTGCCCTGCCTTGATCTTCCTTCCTTGGCGTAGTGGAACCTAGCAACAGCCAGTGTGTTCACATTTCACACAATTCATGCCAATTCACATCCGTCTACTATTCTAATCTGAGATTTTTTTTGTCTTGTTTTGTTTTTAACATTAACACGTGTATACAAAAAATTATTGAAATGCAATAAATACCAAAGCAATCTTGGCTGCTTGGGTGTAAGACAGTAAAATATGATACGATTCTATATTATGTAGTGACCGGCAAAAAAAAAAAAAAAAGTCACATGTTGACCATTTGTGACAACAAGAAAAAGTATTGGGACACATAATCCATGCCTCAGAATGTTGAAAGTATTAGCACATGGCATTCTATAAAAATCTTCCGTTTTGTGAGGTGTAAACATCAAACATGTTGCCAAGAATGTACACCAATGATCATTCAAAAGCACTGCAAAGCTTTTGTCCAGCTGGGAATATCTCTGATAACACCTTTTGCATTTTATAATGGGTTAAATTTTTTAATATTCATCACTGATTCAGGTGCAATTAAAGGGAAATTACTAATAGAAATCCTTTGCTTTTCTTCTATTTCAAATTCCATGCCACAACACCATCCACAGAAATGCAAGATCTCTTGTCAAACTATTTAATTATTTTGTCCTGAAAACATTAAAATGACAGCAGAATGGAAAGTCAGCTAATTGCTTTTTAAATGTGCGCTCTTGAAAGGCTGCACTTGAAGCAGAAGTTTGCTTAATGCTTTTTAAAATAAGAAACACAAGCACTGCACTTCACAGCTCTCTGCACTTGATTTCATGTCCAACGGTTTATTTATGTTTATTTATTTACTTTCATATCTGTATGAAGTACTCTCCTCAAAACAAGATCAATACAGCGCAATATGATGCCGGATCCTCTCTCTTCCTGTCTCTCTGTGCTTTACAGAGTAAACTAGATCCTTTGAATGGAAAGGCTCATGAAACAGCCGGAATAAACAAGAGTTTTACCAGCATAGCATTGTTTTTGTAGTGGTAATGAGGATGTGCTCTTTTAAAAGGCTTCAATATTAATGCATTCAGTGAGATTACACTATTAACTCACCTTATGCATCAAACCTTAATGTGGTAGGTAAAAACTTTTTCTCTCTTTTTAAAAAAATAATGAAATTTAAATACATTACACTTCATAAATGCTACGAGTATGAAAGGCCACGCTGGAAAACTTTTCACAAATGACCTGTAATAATTTCTTACCCTGAATGCACATTTGACATGTTTCCTCCAGCACTTTAGAGACACAGGCCGAGGCTCAGCACAATCAGAGAGATTTAAAGCCATCATCGAAAAACACTCCATCCTTTGATTGACTCTCTTCCACTGCCCACACATGTAAACGCTCACCGACACACTTAGAAATGGCCTTTTATCTGGGTTGTTCCAAGTGCATATGGGAGTATTAAAAGTAGAAGGTGAGGTGGAAACAGTCAGGCCTTTGCGGAATAGTTTAGGGACCATTAACGCTCTATGTATAGAAATGTAGGTGGAAAAATAAGATCCAGTTACCATATCTTACTTCAAGGGGTTGAAATCAAATATCTAATGAAGATACAGTTTCAACAAAGGAAAGGACAGGGTTCCACATTTTATATGTCTTTTGGCTAACAATGAAGCAAAAGCAATAATATCAGCATGACGCTTATTGTACATGCTATCAGCAGGGGGTACTCAAAAAATTGCAATTATTGGGCAGAGTTTCACAGAAACATTAAGAGCCTTTGACAATGTAGCAAAAAAAAAGAAGACCAGAATGGATACAATTTCGGACATGTATAAAATGAATGAGTATGATCGTGTACACGTGGAGGCTTACCAGCCCAAATATACAAGGATATAGTGGCGTCAAATGATTTAAAAAAAGATTTGGGGAGAAAAATGGGAACAGTCTGAAATAGAAAAAGTATTTGTGGAAGGATATTCATTTTAATTGGTTCAGTCCACTGAAGATCTACTTTAATGCGATCCATTAATTTTATAAAATTTTCTTTGTGCAATGACTTCAATGAGTTTGAAATATAAACCCCTAAGTAACGGAAGCCTGTAAAAGACATGCGAAAAGGGAGTATAGCTGGAGAAATCTGTTTTGCCAATTCATTTATGGGAAAACACTCACTTTTAGCAAAGTTCAGCTTATATCCTGAAATAGAGCCAAACTCATTCAACAGATGCATTATGTTATCTATGCAGTTAAGAGGGTCTAAAACATATAGCAGAAGATCATCTGCATATAATGAGACACGATGTTCTCTTCCTCCTCTGTGAATACCTGAAAATACTGAAGATGATTTTAACGCTATAGAGAGAGGCTCTATAGCCAAAGCAAACAGGAGAGGAGAAAGGGGGCAACCCTGACGGGTGCCACGAAAAAGAGAGAAATAAGGGGACGTTTCAGAATCTGAGCTGTTTTAACTGAAAGAAACTCGCAATGACTGATCTTAAAATATATCAGTGCCTTTGTTTTGTCTCAAGATGCACACCAATAATGTTTTTTTTCTAAGGCATGTTAATAAAAATTACTTAAATTTCCTAATTGAACAATGTCCTAATCCTGTCTTAGTCTAAGCCCTGTCTGTGAAACCGGGCCTTAGTGTTAAGAATCAAGCATATGTAAAATTTTCAACAAGGTTATTTTTATAAATTCTATTTATATAATTTATATTCTAGTTATTTTATTAGAACAGATAAATAATACATTCTAGTTATTTTGTCTTGTGGATATGGAATATATGTAAACGTGTTAAATGAAATAGTTTATTCAGGACAGCACCAAAAAAAAAAAACATGCAATTTTCATGATCCCTCTTATTTTGTTAAAATTATTAACATTTTGCATATTCTGCAAGGGGTATGATCTGAACTGTAATTCAAAGGGAAAACACCTTTTCATATCCCATTGGCAGATATTTGTTCCCTATACTCTAATTTAGTATAGGGACCAATTCTCACTATTAAATAGTGACTTATTAGCATGCCTCTTATTAACATATTGGCTGTTTATTAGTGCTTATAAAGCACATATTCTGTATGACCTTATTCTACATCCCTAATCCTACCCAATACCTACATTTAACAACTACCTTTTAATTATCAGCAAATTAGTAGTTTATTGAGGCAAAAGTTAGTTAATAGTTTGTTAATAGTGAGAATTGGACTGACTGTTCTTTTAAAGGGGTCATATGATGCTGCTAAAAAGAACATTATTTTGTGTATTTGGTGTAATGAAATGTGTTTGTGCGGTTTAAGGTTCAAAAAACACATTATTTTCCACATACTGTACATTATTGTTTCTCCTCTATGCACCGCCTTTCTGAAACGCGTCGATTTTTACAAAGCTCATCGGTCTGAAAAAGCGAGGTGTGCTCTGATTGGCCAGTTATCCAGTGCATTGTGATTGGCCGAATACCTCAAGCGTGAGACGGAAATGTTACGCCCCTCACCATACTGTGATGCCCTGTCCGGCCGGAGCGTAACATAAAACCATGCCTGCATTTGTGATCGGAGAAATGACGAACAACAAGTGCTACTCTACTACCCCGCCCAAAAAACTCCCTTTTGAATCGTCAGTGGCAAATTCTTTAAATATAAAAAATGTACTTCACCTAATTTTGTTCAATTTCTCAGAAAACAAGACTTCATATCTTAATTTTTACATCTCAAGTGAATGTATCTTTATTTAAGGATGTTTAGATATTTGTATTGGAAAACAAGACAAAAAACACTAAATAAATTAAATTTCCATAACTTTCTGAATCTAAGACTTGCTCTGATTTAAGACCTATTTAAGGCCTTAATTTGTAGAAGGGCAAATTAAGACTTTTTAAGAATCCCTGAATGAAGCTACACAACACACACTCGCAGCTGCATCAGCAGGACAGTGTTTGCGGTGCATCTCTGTGCCTGTTTAGGACACTGAAATGAGCTTTTGATGAGAGAACAATCCTTTCTCAGAGGCTGTAGGGGAACAGCGCCTGCTCTCTATCTCTTTAAGAACTCTCTTGTGTATCTGTTCTTTAGCACACACATCTCACTGTTTCCTGTGTAAGTAACAGTGTGTATATTAGAATCAGTGATACTGGAGGACAACTGAGAAAATTCAACCTGCAGACTGGAATACTGAATACTGAATCTGGTTGCTGGTGTCCACAGAGCAGCTTCTTACCTTAGACCACTGAAGCCTATGAATCTCTCACAAACACTTAATGCTGCCTCAGTGGTTGTCTTTATACTGCAATATTTTTGAGACATGCAACATTCTTATTTATAAATATTTGATTTACTTTATCAGTGCTTTAACAGCAAGAATGAAATTAAGTTAAATTAAATCTAAATAAAGTTTAACATTTAAATTAAATGAATTACATTTAATAATTTTTGCTTTAAAAATAAGTACTGGAAATGTTTGTTAACAAAGTCAAATTCCTTGTGCGCGTGTGATCATAAAAGGCTAATGCAGGCTCATATATCCATAAACACATTCTTTCTTTTTGTTTGCCTCAGGTAGTTAAACTACCAAGTGTAAAGACTGTGGCTCATTTGAATATTACTTTAATCTGTTTACCAATATAAATGATTTTTCTCCATTTAGCATTTTTGAAACATGTGGAATTAACATGCATTAACTAGTAATTAAAGATTACCATTCATTTGTATCATCTGATTTGAGAATGTAGGGACTGCAAAGCATTGAAACACAACATCTCAAACTTGAGTTCTGTACAGACATGGTAGTGCTTTATTATGATTTGTAACAGTGGGCGGAGTCATCTACTCCTCCACCAGTGGCGGAGGAGAAAGCTTTAGCTGGACATTCTCGCTGTGATAAATACTTCCTGTTCCTGGATGGACAGGGTTCGACAGACCGGCCCTCTCACTGCCATGAGAATGAGTGAGTTCTGTCAGAACAGCAAGCTGAAAAACAAAGAAAACAGAGACGAAAAGTAAAAAAAAAAAAAAACCCAAAGCAAAACAACAACAAAAAATCAGTTAATAATTACACAGCTAAAACAGTTATTACAATGACAATAAAAAAACTTTCCAACGGCAAAAACTATACATTAATATAACAAAAATAATACATATAATTACAATAATAATAATAATTATTATTAAACCATTTCCTTAAAATTGAGTCAGACAGCACAATCATTCACAACTGTTTGTGCACAGAATCATTTGAAAAAAGAAAAAACAAACTTGCTTTGAAATATTAAGATGCTGCCATAGCTGCAAATAAGTAAAACATGCCCATCTGCTAACAGTGCAAGATGAATAAACAGTGTTAAAAGCTTCTTATTGTGTCTCCAAGTGCTTTCCCTTTCAGAGTTCTATAACAACTTTTGCCCTCTAATATTAATTTTGATTTTCAATGCAATTTATCTGTTGGCTACACAAAGCCTGATAAGGTTTGGTCACGTCTGATTTTGTTCGCCGAGTCTAGGTCAACGTCAAATTTAGGGTTTCATGCCTTTTATTGTTTACACCTGGCATTAAATGGATAGTTCAAATTCTGTCATCATTTACACACCAACATGTTGTACCAAACCTGCATGAGCTTTCTTTGTTATCTGGAACAGTAAAAAAAAAGATATTTTGATAGTTCATTGACAATGGATGTCATCGATCATCAAAAAGTATCTTCTTTTGTGTTCCACAGAAGAAAATTCTACAGGTTTGGAATGACATGAGGGTGAGTAAATGATGACAGAATTTCTTATTTTAGGTTGAACAACCCCTTTAACACGCATTTCATGCAGCACTTAATGTCAATTATTATTGTTTTATTCACAACAGTATCAATCTGTTGGTGTTGGCCAGTAGAGGTTATGCAGTAACCTGGATTGCACCATGCAGTAAGATATACAGAAGACTGTAAAAAAAAACTTAAACACAGACTCACACCAACCAACCCGCACTCATTAGCAGCATTAGCCTGTCCAGAGTCATTCATTAATGTGTATATTTTCAGCAGGGACCTCGTTACAGCTTGAGCAATCAATGCGCATTTAACGAAACAGCATGAATCAAACAGCATAATCTATCCTTCTCTCTCCAGCCTCACTTTGAAGCCCTCCTTTGCATCTTTATCTTCTCCTTCCCTTTCTGATCTCACTCAAATTTTCCTTTCCTCATTCCCGTCCACTCCCTCTCTAATCAGTCCCTTTCTTTCTGTGGGCAAACCAACTTTTCAGCATCAAATCCATCTGCATTACACATTTCAATGCACTCATTTTGTGTCCCCTTCTTTCTCCTGCTGTTTATTAGCAGTCTTTAAAACAGACTGCCATTTATAAGCCATAGTTCTATTCCTCAGTCAAGCTTATTTTCTTTTTTCTTTCGCTTTCCTATCTAAACAGGACACCTGCTAAGCGAAGGCTACGGAGAGTGACAGATAAAAGCAAACAGAGACACGGAAAGCACGTCAGTGGCTAATCATCGCCTGTCACCGCAGTGGCTTTATTATTAGCCCCATACTGTTAGCAAACAGGCTAAACACAGAGTATGAAGTCTGGGCACGTCTAATACCAGTAACAGTCTTTCTATCATACTTTACTATGAGCAATTTTCACACTGCTAACCAGGACTGATGTTCCTCTGTGAAAAAGCCTAGCATTAGATACTATGGCAACCATGTTATGTTTTCTTTTTTTTTTTACTGCATCTATAGAATAATCTATATGGTTGTTTGTCTGCTTGTTTAAGAAATGTTTAGTTACTTTTACAGTATGTGACCCTGGACCACAAAATAAGTCATAAGTAGCACAGGTATATTTGTAGCGATAGCCAATAATACATTGTATGGGTCAAAATTATAGATTTTTATTTGATGCCAAAAATCATTAGGATATTAAGTAAAGATCATGTTCCATGAAGATATTTTGTAAAATATATCCAAACTTCATTTTTGATTACTAATATGTATTGCTAAGGACTTAATTTGGACAACTTTAAAGGTGATTTTCTCAATATTACCCTCAGATTTCAGATTTTTAAATAGTTGTATCTCGGCCAAATATTGTCCTAACAAACCATACATCAATGGAAGGCTTATTTATTCAGCTTTCGGACGATGTAAATCTCAATTTCAAAAAATTGACCCTTATGACTGGTTTTGTGGTCCAGGGTCATGTATAAGAAAGAGACTAGGGAGTTGGGATATACCAGTATTGACGATAATAGTGATATTTAAATAACAAAATATCGTTATCGTGTTAATTGGAGGTGTCGCAATATACAATAATGGCAATATTTAAAAATGGATAGTACACATAAGACAATACAACACGTAATAATCTAGAGTCAGCGCCATTATGGAGTACTAAACTCTCACATGTAATTTGTTTCATTCATACTCGACGCCGGAGGGCGCTCTCGCACAGAAAATCCACATGCAAGACTCATAGGAGTAATAGAACTTATGATATCTCTGTAGGCATCTAGCTATCACTGTAGATGAGTACAATGCAGAAAGAAATGTTTTATCTGATGAAACATGAAGACAATCAACACACGATTGCAACAGTGTATGGATTATCTGTGTTCTTTAAGCCATCTTAGGTATTTTACTAAGGATATGTATTTATAAGGTAATGCTAATCGACATAGCATTTATCCACTCTATAGAATCCTATAAAATAATTTAATTTCAGCCTCATTCTGTAAAAAGAATCAGTTCACAGAAGGAAGTTATTTAGAACACCCGTTTAGAGTAAAAATATATTTTTATTACAACAAATTGCTGTATTTTGAAACTATACTAAACTAAAAACGGTTAGCATTTTAGTCTCATCTGTTTAGTGTAATTGATCCTTTTGTATACAATGGTGTGATTCATTGGTCAAAAAAGGAAAAAATCAATGGATTTGACTAATAGCATGGTTTATTTATTTTTCGAGATTTCTATATGTATATTACGATATATCGTTATCGTAAATATTTGTGCACACGATGATCGTGTAGTGAAAAATCTGATATCGTGACAGCCCTAATAGAAACTACAACAAATCTGTGCATGTGATGTACTTCTAAGTGTGTTAGCTTGTAATGGCTTCTCAGGGTGAGTCATACATGGAGGCGATGTATGAAAGGTTCGCCTTTGTGTGAAAAATATGGTGTATGATTTAATTACATTAGTGGAGAGCTGTCAAAGTGTTAGGTATGAAAAAGGACACACTTTGTGCTATGCTGTGTGCAATAGTGCCCACTGTAAAATCCATATATGGATAAGGACGAAAAGAGAGCCTGAAGGTTTATTCACACTAAGAACTACGTGACAAAGCAAGCAATTTTCCAGAACCACATTGACATCGAGCTGTTGATATTACTGGTGTCCGAGTACAAGGAAAATAATACAGCTGATAGGGATCTGAAGCAATGCATTTTTTTGGGGGGGGGGGGGATTACAACACATTTTTGTGACCAAATATTCTAGAATTGTGTATTCTAGTGTGTAGAAGACAATTTGTAATGCAGTATATGAATGTTTCTTGTGTTTGTAATGGTTTTATTATGCTGCAGGTAGACTTTTTCTTTCATTCAGTGTCTGGTTTGACAGGTCATTGTATTTTGCCCTGGGATGAAGGAGTGAGTGATGACAGAATGACAAAAAATTATTATTTTTCAATGTGAATGAAAGTCTAATGGGTTTTGAATGACATGAGAGTGAGTAACTGATAACAGAATATTCATTTCTAGGTGAACTATTCCTTTAAGTTGCAGGCAGTTGATTATAATACCTTTTTAATTCTGTAATTTCTTTAATTCCTTTTCATCATTTTTAAGATTGCTTAAAGCTGAATGAAAGGACGAGTTGAATGAAATGAATGAATATTTTGGGCCTCTACCCTTGGGAGACAGAGAGGGTGACAGGATCGGGAAAGGTCCACGAGCCAGGACTTGAACTTGGGACGCCCAAAGCACAACGGGCGCTATATGTCGGCGCACTACCCACGAGGCTATCGGCACCGATGTTGTAACCTAATCTACGGTTTTAAAGCTAAAATGTCTTAATGATGGATTTGTTTCTTACAAACACACAGCTTTTCATTCACAAGATGTTGATTGATGGACTGGAGTCATGTGGATTATTGTGGAGTCTCATTCTGACGGCACCCATTCACTGCAGAGCATCCATTGGTGAGTGTTATAATGCTACATTTCTCTAAATCTGTTCCCATTAATAAATAAAATCATCATCTACATCTTGGATGGCCTGAGGGCAAGTACATTTTCAGATTTTTTTTGGATTAACCATTCCTTTAAGGTAATGATCAAATCTCCCAGGACAAGCTGAAACATTTATTTGAACACAAATGAAACATTTTCCAAGATTTAAAGTAGACAAAAGTGCCTCTAACTAAAAATCATCCATATAGTCTAGGGGTTTTCAAACTGGGGTCTGCAAGAGAGCGCTGGGGGTCCACGAAAAACTTGGCAGAAACAAAACATTTACAATTTAGACAAGATACATTTTTTTTATCCTAAAGTTATTAATGACCAAATCTGTATATAGTTTTGTGATTTATATAGTGGATCCTTGTAATGTGTTTATCCCAAAAAATATTGCGCTCTTAATTTTTTGCATACAGTTGAATGGAGCAATTAGCAGCTATGTACATGCACTACAAATGATGGAAAGATTTTTGAAGAATCCCGCTCTCACAAGTAGTTCGTGTAAATCTGACATGGCAAATGCTAAGGCAAAAACTAGAAAATATACCAAATCTTACATTGCCTTTGGTTTTACCTGCATGTTAAAGCAGGGAGTCAAGATACCCCAGTGTGTTCTCTGTCAAGAGATTATCTCCAACGAATGCATGAAACCATCCAAGCTCAAGCGCCATCTACAGCAGAAACATCCCAATGAGGCAGGAAAATCGACTGACTATTTCAAACATCAGGAGTTGTGTTTG